TTCCCACAATCTGGACACTTATATGGTTTGTCTCCTGTGTGAATCTTCTGGTGTTCCACGAGGTAGAAATTGCGTGTGAAACTTCTCCCACAATCTGGACACTCATACGGTTTTTCTCCTGTGTGAATCCTTTGATGTACCACCAGGTAAGAATTGCAACTGAAACCTTTCCCACAATCCGAACACTCGTATGGTTTCTTTCTCATGTGCGTCGTCAGGTGTTTCACCAGGTGGGATTTGTGATTGAAACACTTCCCACAATCTGGACACTCATATGGTTTCTCTCCTGTGTGAATCCTCTCGTGTATCACCAGGTTGGAATTCCGAATGAAACTTTTCCCACAATACAGACACTCATATTGTTTCTCTCCTGTGTGAGTCCTCTGGTGTCTCACCAAGTAGGAATTCCGACTGAAACTTTTCCCACAATCAAGACATTTATATGTTTTTTCTTCAGTGTGAGTCCTCTTGTGTCTCATCAGATTGGTCTGCATGCTAAATTTTTTGCCACATTGGGAGCACTGGTAGAGCTGCTCCTCCTGCATCGGTCCTTCCATGAATCAATGGAGTGCTGCTCTTAGTGATGCTTTTTCCATGTGATCTGCAATCTGTTTTTTCCCACAATAGGCAGACTGTGAGGTTTTTTCAGCACTGATATTCTTGGATTCACAAGGAGGCCAAAAATATTTCTTATCTGATGGTGCTTTGATTCAAGACACTGTTTCCTTCCTGAAAGGCATTCAATAATTTGGCTATCCAAGAATCTTTTATTTCCCACTGATGTCTAGCTATTTCCCTTTCTCTAAATTTGGTAATAATATTTTTTACCTTTTTGTGCAATATTTTCTTATGTTGTACATAATCTACTTTTTCCTCCTGAAAACTCTGTTCCTATTATTCTCTCCCTTGCCTCCCTCCATCCGGTGAGGAAAGAGAAGAAGTTTTATCACTTTCTGGAAGAAATGGAAAAGATTTTGACTGATGTTTTGTTTTGCATTTTAATGCTGCTTCTCATTCTCTGTTGTCCAGAGTGCTCTTCTTGGCATCCTCTTTGTCTATAAGATTCATATTACTGGTTTAGCTTCATTATTGTTTAAAAAATGGCTACAGAACCTGTGAAAACATAAAAAAAATCCATATATTACTATGAAAAAGCAAACATCATAATGCTAGTTTAATATTCATTATAATTCATTAGTTACATAGAAGACTAACAAAATCCAAGTTCAAATATCCACTCATATTTCAAATAATGAAATTCTCTTCTTGGCTTGGGTAAATCACAAATTATTATCATTGCAAATGCAAACTATTGTTATTAAGATTACCTGAAAATACTTAGGTTTACATAGACACACGCAGTGGTGGGATTCAAATCCCTGAACAAGTGGTTCTCTGCGTGGATGCATGCAGGCCTGGGAAGCCTCCTCCAAGCCTAAATCAGATTCAGCCGGTTCTCCAAACTCAACAAAATTTAGCTATCGGTTCTGCCGAACTGGGGCAAACTGATTGAATACCATCACTGGATACACATATACACACACATCAATACACACCTATAAATTTGTGTATGTAGAAAATCTATGTCAATACACACCTATAAATTTGTGTATATAAAAAATCTATGTGTGTTTGAGTCTGCAAAATGTTTCAGAAGTGGTTTAACTCAATTTGTCTGATCTAATGTTAGAAAGCTGGGGACACTAGCAGATGAAATGGTCCCCAAAGCCTAGGCAAAATTTAAAGCATCCGTTTGGCCACAGGAAACTCTTCGCTTGCCAGGAAAACAACATGTCAATAACATCGCAAGGAATAAAGTGTTACACGAAGAACCGAAGGAGATAGGCGGTTAAGAAAAACAAAGGTTTCTTAAATGTCCCAAATCTCCCAGCAGAAAATCACAGGCAGCGTTAAGGATAATAACATTTAGGGAGAGAAAGAATATGCAGCAGCAGACGACACCTTTCAGCCTCGTCCCTTTGCTGCTTCCATACCACGGAGGAAAAGAAACAGTCCGACTTGCTCCCGGCTTCTTCTCCGACCTGCCCTCCGCTCACCTCCCGGGAGCCGCTTCCACCCTCGAGGCACCGGAAGAGGACCCGCAACACCATCCTCCACCCATAAGTGAGCCGGAAAAGGAAGTTCCTCTGTCCTTTCCCCAAAGTCCTCTCTAGCAGTGCAATACTCTATCGTTTCAATTTGTTCCGGCTCAGCCTCTCTCCCTCCCGTATGACGTTGGGACTAGCGATGCGGCTGCTCTGTACAGAACTTGTATTCTCTGCTTTCCAGGTACGAGTGTTGCTTCTCTGTAGAGCGCCATCTAGGGACATACAGTTGAAAAGCACGCTCGTCCTATCTCTTCCCTAAAGTGTCTGTAAGGCTTTTTCGTGGATTCCCTGGTTCTTTAGGGGCCGTCAAGTCATGTTCGAATCCCACCGAGCACATCGATAGCTTTTGTCCAGGACAATCTATCCTAAACCTTTTCTTTCAGGGCTCCCAAGAGGGCAGTCATCGTCCCTCTTCCTGCAACTAAATCCAAGGAAAGTGTCCTGGGGGGGAATTATGTACAACAGGCAAGGAGAAAGTGCACCTCCCTTGAGGGCTGGTGAAGATTGTTCCAGCCAGTTTTTCATCTTGGGGGTTGGGGGTGCAGGATAACTCCCTGAAATCTGCCTCTGCAACTTAGCAAAGCTGTAAAATTCAAGCTTGACCCCTTGTTTCGTCTGTGATTTTATTTTCTTTTACTTCCACCTTTAGCTAATAAGCACAATATTTTCTACTGGTGCCCCATCCCGGCTAAGCAATGGAAATTTGGGCTCGAATTGCCTTCACAACCTAAGAACTACATATATTTCTTTTCCAAGCTCAGGAGAGGGCTGGAAGAGTCATTTCCCCCCTTCTGGACAGTTGGCATCCTGGTCAGCTTCATACCTTCATCAGCCATTTGCTGTGCAAAAGAAAATCATGACAGGTTTTCCTAGCAGAGGATTTCAAGGCATTGCTGCAGAGTAAGACCTTTTCTAAGCACAGCTGAAGAGGGGAATGAGAGGCTGGCAACCTGGAACGTCAACTTGCTCTCTGATTGCAGCTCTGACTTTGCCACCCGTAGAAAAGGCTGTGCAGGAGAAAGAGACCTGGGCCCTTCTCAGTCTGGGTTCAGGCCGGGGCACATCACCAAACCGGCATTGGTTGCAACTCTCGTGGACTTTTGGAGGCCTCAGGATAGACAGGGTACAACTATTGTATCTCTCCTAGACCTCTCATCAGCTTTCAGTACTGTATCATCGACCATGATATTGAAGGGATTTTATTGTGCTTAAGCTTGATAGTAGTGGTGTTATTTTGTAACCATTTTATATTGATACTAGTAGTGATATTTTGTAATCATTTTATATATATTTTTGTTTGTTCAAGCAGCTTTGTAGGTGCCTTATATTGGGAAACTATTTACATAAAAGCAAATGTTTTGTGCTAAGTATGTCTCTGTCTCCATGGCTGGTGTAGAATTCATTGTCTAGTTGAAATAAACAATCACAAGCCAAAATTTCCAAGGGAAAATAATGGTAATTTATTTGTACTCTTTTGCAGGTGGGGGTGTACTCCTTGTGCATGCAAGCACACAGTGGACACAACCCAAATCTTCAATATTTGTTCTTTATATTCCCCATTGCTAGTACAAATTTACCTCCCACCTCCTCTTCATTGGTGTAGTAATCATGCTGTCACAACCTATCCAAAGCTTCTAAAGTGAATGTATTATCTCCACCCCCAATTACTTTTCTCATTTCCCTAATTATATGGCCCCTGGCCCTTATTTACGAATTACCTTTTATGGCAGTTAGTTCCTAGGGGTTTTCTCTAAAGTTGCTATCATATCAGTAAATTCTAGTTAGGACCGGTTTTCAGCGTAGCAGAGACCTTCCTAGATACAATTCTCAAGTTCAAGCTAGGCTCATGAGATTAAAATATATACAATTTATTTGCTTCACAGACTAGCATGTCTTCTCATAGTTCCGTGAAAACAATAAGCTCTTTTTCCCACTCTGTGGAGTCGGGCCTCTTGCAATTCGGGAGGCCCTGGGACAAAAACGTTACACTACTGCTTTCTAACATCTACATGAAACCACTAAGGGAGGCCATCCATCCTGGGATACCCCATTATGTACAGGTAGTCCTGGACTTATAACATTTCATGTAGCGACCATTTGAAGTTACAACAGTGCTAAAAAGTGACTTATGACTATTTTCCACACAACCATTACAGCATCCCCCTTGTCACGTGATGAAAATTATGACAGTTGGCAATTGACTCATATTGGTGAGTTTCAGTGTCCTGGGGTCATGTGATCTCCTTGGGGATCCTCCTGGACTCATGGCTCCTGCTTGAGAAGATCGTAGGTGGGGGAGGGGCTTTGCAGAGATTTATCTGGTGCACCAACTGTGTCCTTTCCTAGACCAGGGAGGCCTTGCACAGGCCTCAATCATGCCTTGGTCACCTCCAGTTTGGGTCACTGCCCTGGACCCCCCGGAAATTATAACTGGTCCAGAAAGCCCCAAAGCACAAAGTAATGAGGGCCTCTAGGTTGCCCATATCACGTCTTTGTGGTGTGAGCTGCTGCAGGCTTTGTTTCTTTACAGGTGCAACTGAAGATCCTGATCATCACATTTAAAGGTATTTCTTTATTGTAGCAATTGCACTTGGAATTAATACCCCACTCCACTGTGCTTTATAGCACTCTTGGCTTACAGTGTCAGCATATTCTCCCAACAATCTGGGTTCTCATTTTACCGATCCCAGAAAGATGGAGGGCTGAGTTAACTTCAAGCCCCCTCAGGATCAAATTCCAGGCTGTGGGCAGTCAGCCAGCAATACTGCATTCTGACCACTGAGCCAACAGGGCACCTGTCATTAATGTTCCACTTTATTATTTCTCCATCTATCTGTTCTACCAGGTCAGATAGGGTGGGCATGCATCTAGCCCCTTCCCTTAACTATTGCCATCTGATAGGAGCTAGGAAGTGAGGCTTTTCTGCTGCAGACCCTGCCCTAAGAGACACTCTTCCCCCTGAAGTATGGCAGGCCATTATCCTCCTAGTCTTCGGTAAAGCAAGGAAGATCTAATCCTGTGGTTAACATCTCCAATTTAACTCTTTGCAAGGAGAAAGATGACCACTTTTGAACAAGAATGGCACAAGGAGGGCCATAATAGGGCCAAGCAGCCTGGTTAATTTCTAATTTGAACAAAAGCAAGAATCACTGTTTTGGGATTCCATGACCATCCAAATGCCATCAACCTTGCTAGAGGTGCCCTGTATTTGAGGGCAAAGGTGGAGGCTTTGAATGTTGCCATTTTGCAACATATGCAATTTATCAGTTTCTGTATTAAGGTTTTATTACTGCAAGCCACCCACTCACCATGAGCTGGGTTGGCATATACATTTTCTTAAACAATAATATATTTATGTGAAGAAATAGCTCAAGGCGGCAAACACAATACAGATGCAGGTTTTCTTTCACTGTCCCAGCACAGCAGTTCCCCTTGACTCTGTGGAAGGGAAGGACCACACTGGGTCAGAAAAAGGAAGCTCAGATCTTCTCCCTCATGTTTGATACTAAAACACATTTGACTAAAAAGAATATGGCAAGCAATTAAATGGTCAGTTTCTCAGCTGGGCTTCCAATTAGAAAAGAGATATGAAATTCAACATTCCTCTGCACACATCACATTTTGCCTGTGTAATTTCTTGTGTCTGAAAAAGGTAGTATAATATGTGAAACATTTCCCACAATCTGGGCATTTGAATGGTTTCTCTCCTGTGTGTAATCTTACATGATTTATAAGGCTAGTCCTACTACTGAGATCTTTCCCACAATCCGGACACTCATACGGCTTCTCTCCTGTGTGAGTCCTCTGATGTATCACCAGCTGAGCATTCCATCTGAAATTTTTCCCACAATCTACACATTTATATGTTTTCTCTTCCGTGTGAATCCTCTGGTGTATCAACAGGTAGGAATTCTGACCGAAACATTTCCCACAATCATGACATTTATATGATTTCTCTTCTATGTGAGTAGACTGATGTTTCACCATGTCACATTTCCGAGAGAAATCCTTTCCACAATCTGGGCACTCATATGGTTTCTCCCCTGTGTGAGTCCTCTGATGTCTAAACAGGTAGGAATAACAAGTGAAACCTTTTCCACACTCTGGGCACTCATACGGCTTCTCTCCCGTGTGAATCCTCTGGTGTATCACTAGGTAGTAACTCTCACGGAAACTTTTCCCACAATCTGGACACTCATATGGTTTCTCTCCTGTGTGAGTCCTCTGATGTCTAATCAGGTTGGCATTCCGAATGAAACATTTCTCACAATCTGGACACTTATATGGTTTCTCTCCTGTGTGAGTCCTCTGATGTTTAACCAGGTTGGAATTTTGAATGAAATTTTTCCCACAATCAGGACATTCATATGGGTTTTCTCCTGTGTGTATCCTCTGGTGTCCCACCAGGTAGGAATTCTGACTGAAACTTTTCCCACAATCCAGACACTTGAATGGTTTTTCTCCTGTATGAGTTCTCTCGTGTATCACCAGGTTGGAATTCTGACTGAATCTTTTTCCACAATGCAGACACTCATATGGTTTCTCTCCTGTGTGAGTTCTCTGGTGTCTCTCCAGTTTTGAATTCCCAGTGAAACTTTTCCCACAATCCAGACACTCATATGGTTTCTCTCCCGTGTGAGTTCTCTGGTGTATCACCAGATTGGAAGTATGACTGAAACTTTTCCCACAGTACAGACACTCGTATGGTTTCTCTCCCGTGTGAGTCCTCTGGTGTCTTACCAGCTTATAATTATGACTGAACTTTTTCCCACAATACAGACATTCATATGGTTTATCTCCTGTGTGACTCCTCTGGTGCTTTACCAGGCTGGAATTCTGACTGAAACTTTTCCCACAAATGGGACATTCAAACAGTTTCTCCTCAGTGTGACTCTTCTTGTGTCTCACCAGATTGGTATGCATGCTAAATCTTTTACCACCCTGGGAGCACTGGTAGTGCTGCTCCTCCTGCATCAGTCCTTCCATGAATAATGGGAGTGCTGTTCTGAGTAAAGCTTTTGCCACAGTCCTAACATTTGCATGGGTTTTCAAAGGATGGATGGATTTATGCAAAAATCAGATGTGATCTGAAATCCGAGTTTTTCCCAAAATAGGCAGTTGGTGGGATTTTTCCAACACTGATATTCTTGGATTCATGAGGCGGCTAAAAATATTTCTGATCCCTTGTCTTGTAGTGCTTTGATCCAAGACACTTTGCTTCTTTAAACGCTTTCATTAACGCCTTGTACTTTTTCATGCAATATTATCTTGAGTTCCACATAATCTATTTTTTCTAACTGAAATCTCTGTTCCTGTTATTCTCTCCTTTGTCTCCCTCCATCTGTTAAGAAAAGAGAAGAGTTTTAACACTTTCTGGAGGAAATGGAAAAGATTTTGATTGATGGTTTGTTTTGCATTTTAATGCTGCTTCTCATTCTCTGTTGTCCGGAGTGCTCTTCTTGGCATCCTCTCTGTCTATAAATTCATATTAATGGATTAGTTTCATTAGTGTTTAAAAAATGGCTGATGAACCTGAGAAAACAGCAAAAAAATCCATATATTACTATGAAAAAGCAAACATATCAAAATGCTAGTTTAACCTCTAAGATTCATTATGATTCATCAGGCACAGAGGAGACTAGCAAAATCAAACTTCAAGTATTCACTCATATTTCAAATCATGGAATTCTCTTCTTGGCTTGGGTAAATCACGAATCATTATCATTGCAAATAGTTGTTACAAAAAATACCTGAAAATACCGAGGTCTATACAGATACATGTATATGCACATATAAATACACACCTATACATTTATATATGTGGAAAAACTATATGCATTTCGGACCTCCAAAATGTTTCAGAAGTGGATTCACTTAATTTGCTTGATCTAATTTTAGAAAGCTGGGGACACTAACAGATGAAACGGTGCCCAAAGCCTATGCGAGATTTAAAGCATCCGTTTTACCACCGAAAGTCCTCACTTGCCAGGTAAACATGTCAATAATATCACAAGGAATGAAGACCGAGAGAGGCAGGCTGTTACATAATATGAAATATTTTTTTAAATGCCCCAACTTTTCCATCTCCCAGCAGAAAATCACAGGGAGCAGTTTTAAATCATGCAGCGTTAAGGATAAGAACATTTGGGGAGAGAAAGAATATGCAGCAGCAGCAGCCGACATATTTCACCCTCGTCCCTTCGCTGCTTCCACACCGCGGAGGAAAAGAAACAGCCCGACTTACTCCCGGCTTCTCCTCCGACCTGCCCTCCGCTCATCTGCCGGGAGCCGCTTCGACTCTCGAATCTGCACAAGCGTATCCACCGACGCCATCCTCCTCCCATAAGTGAAGCGGAAAAGGAAGTTCCTCTGCCCTTTCTCCAAAATCCTGTCTAGCAATCCAATCCTCTATCGTTTCAATTTGTTCCAGTTCAGCCTCTCTCTTCCGCACTAGCGATGCTGCTGCTGTGTACAGAACTAATCTCTGCTTTCTTCTTACGAGTGTTGCTTCTCTGTAGAGCGCCATCGAGCGACTTAACGTGAAAACCACGCTCGTCCTATCTCTTCCCTCAAACGTTTGCAAGGTGTTTTCATGGATTGTGTGGTTCTTTAGAGGCCATCAAGTCGTAGTTGACTCCCACCAAGCACATCGATAGCTTTTGTCCAGGACAATCTATCCTAAACCTTTTCTTTCAGATCTCCCAAGAGTGCAATCATTGTCCTTCTTCCTGCAACTAAATCAAAGTGTCCTGGGGGGGAATTATGTACAACAGCCAAGGAGAAAGTGCACCTCCCTTGAGGGCTGGTGAAGATTGTTCCAACCAGTTTTTCATCTTGGGAGTTGGGAGTGCAGGGCCCAAATCTACCTCTGCAACTTAGCAAAGCTGTAAAATTGAAGCTTGACCCCTTGTCTCATCTGTGATTGTCAGGGCCCACTTTAATTCTTCATCCTAAGAAAGCAGAACTTTTCGAAGCAGTTTCTTCCAAAAGGATATTTTATTAGGAGAAGATGATAGCAGGCATAATAGACAGGATCTGAGGGCTTCCTTCTCAGATCAATAGGTTAAAGGAGTCCCCAGCAAACCCCACCCCAAAAGTTAATCAGGTCAGTTTGAATGGGACAATCCTCAGGTGTTACGTCCATTGTGGGAAAGGTGATAGCACCGTTCTTTCCCAGACTAGTAGTGACTGTTGTGGCTTCACACCTTCCCTTCTGAAAGGAGAGATGAACCAGATGGCCGGAGGCTCATTTCTTACTCCCCCCCCTCACCCCAAGGTGACATCAAGGGAGAAACAGTTCAAAGAGCACGTGTGCAGAAATAGGGAGATTGTAGTGATAGAGAACATAAAGAAACAGCCCGCAGCGTTTCCCCCCTCCCCTCCAGGAGTATGGCACAACCCAAAGCAATAGAAGAAATAAACTGAGAGAGCGAGAGAGTTCCCCTTAATAATATATGGGTTCTGACAGTGGTTTTATTTTCTTTTACTTCCATATTTAGCTAACAAGCACCATATTTCCTACTGGTGCCCCATCCTAGCTAAGCAATGGAAATTCGGTCTCAAATTGTTGTCACAACCTGAGAACTGCCTATATTTCTTTTCCAAGCTCAGCAGTGGGCTGGAAGAGTCATTTTCCCCCTTCTGGACATCCTGGCCAGCTTCATACTTTCAACAGCCGTTTGCTGTGCATAATTAAATCATGACGGGTTTTCCTGGCAGAGGAGTTCAAGGCATTGCTGCAGATTAAGATCTTTTCTCAATGCAGCTGAAGAGGGGAATGAAAGGCTGGCAGCCTGGAACTTCAGCTGGCCCTCTGCTTGCAGCTTTGACTTTGCCACCCGCAGAAAGGGCTGTGCAGAAGAAAGAGACTTGGGCCCTTCTTGGTCTGGGTTCAGGCCGGGACACATCACCAAAACGGCATTGGTTGCAACTCTCATGGACTTTTGGAGGCCTCGGGATAGACGGGGTACAACCATTTTGTCCCTCCTAGACCTCTCATCAGTTTCAATACTGTATCATCGACCATGATATTCTTCTGAACAGTCTTTTGCCTCCATGGCTGGTGTAGGATTTGTTGTCTAGTTGAAATAAACAATCAGAAGCCAAAAGTTCCAAGATAAAACAATGGTAATTTATTTGTATTCCTTTGCAAGGGGTGTGTGCTCCTTGTGCATGCAAGCACACAGTGGACACAACCCAAATCTTCAATATTTGTTCTTTATATTCCCCCATTGCCATTACACATTTACCTCCTGCCTCTTCTTCATTGGCTTAGTAATCATGCTGTAATCACGTCATCACAACCTAACCAGAGCTTCTAAAGTGAATATATTATCTCCGCCCCCAATTACTTCTCCCATTCCCCTAATTCTATGGCCCCTGGCCCTTATTTACGAATTATCTTTTATGGCTGTTAGTTCCTAGGGGTTTTTTCTAAAGTTGCTATCATATCAGTAAATTCTAGTTAGGACCAGTTTTCAACGTAGAAGAGACCTTCCTAGATACAATTCTCAAGCTTCAAGCCAGGCTCATGGGATTAAAATATATACAATTTATTTGCTTCAGAGGCTAGCATGTCTTCTCATAGTTCTATGAAAATAATAAGCTCTTTTTTCCACACTGGTTCCACTCAGTGTGGAGTCAGGCATCTCGCAATTCAGGAGGCCCCGGGAGAAAAGCCTTACACTGCTGCTTTCTAACATCTAAATGAAACCACTAGGGAAGGCCATCCATCCTGTGATACCCCATTATGTACAGGTAGTCCTGGACTTATACATTTTATTTAGCGACCATTTGAAGTTACAACAGTGCTAAAAAGTGACTTGTGATCATTTTTCACACAAACATTGCAGCATCCCTTGTCACATGACCAACATTATGACGCATGGCAATTGTCTCAGATTTCTGAGTTTCAGTGTCCTGGGGTCATGTGATCTCCTTGGAGATCCTCCTGGATTCATGGCTCCTGCTTGAGAAGATCATAGGTCGGGGAGAGGATTTGCAGAGATTTAGCTGGTGCACCAACTGCGTCCTTTCCTAGACCAGGGAGGCCTTGCACAGGCCTCAATCATGCCTTGGTCACCTCCAGGTTGGATCACTGCCCTGGACCCTCCAGAAATTCTAACTGGTCCAGAAAGCCCCAACGCACAAAGTAATGAGGGCCTCTAGATTGCCCATATCACATCTTTGTGGTGCGAGCTGCTGCAGGCTTTACAGGTGCAATTGAAGATGCTGGTCATCACATTTAAACCTATTTATTATTGTAGCAATTGCACTGGGAATTAATACCCCACTCCACTGTGCTTTATAGCACTCTCAGCTTACAGTGTCATATTCTCAACAATCTGTCTTCTCATTTTACCGATCTGAGAAGGATGGAGGGCTGAGTTAACTTCGAGCTCTCTCAGGATCAAATTCCAGGCTGTGGGCAGAGTCAGCCAGCAATACTGCATTCTCACCACTGAGCCAACAGGGCACCTGTCATTAATGTTCCACTTTATTATTTTTGCATCTATCTGTTCTACCAGGTCAGATAGGGTGGGCATGCATCTAGCCCCTTCCCTTAACTATTGCCATCTGATAGGAGCTAGGAAGTGAGCCTTTTCCGCTGCAGACTCTGCCCTAAGAGATACTCTTCCCCCTGAAGTATGGCGGGCCATTATCCTCCTAGTCGTCGTTAAAGCAAGGAAGATCTAATCCTGTGGTTAACGTCTCCAATTTAGCTCTTTGCAATGAGAAAAATGACAACCTTTGAACAAGAATGGCACAAGGAGGACCATAATAGGGCCAAGCGGCCTGGTTAATTTATAATTTGAACAAAAGCAAGAACCACTGTTTTGGGATTCCATGAACATCCAAATGCCATCAACCTTGCTAAAGGTGCCCTGTATTTGAGGGCAAAGGTGGAGGCTTTGAACGTTGCCATTTTGC